CATGCTCCATTTTACAGTTAACACGTTTTAACTTTGAATTAACAATTTTGTGTAAGAATGGAACTATTAGGTTTAAGGGAGAAAGATTTAATATAAAAACTAACTCATCGTTATCTCTTTAATTGAGTTTTTGACTTTGTAATGGTAGGTATCAAGTTTTCCTAATTTAGAACTCTTACGCAACGCATGAATAATATAAAATCTTCATATATCTAGATTTCTAACGAAAAGGTATTGGAATCATTTCTTAAAATTTTAGAATCACTCTAATTCAGTAACACAAATAGAGATTTTGGTTATTTAAGTGTTTTTTTAAGGAAAATTTTCAATTATAATTTAAGTATTTAACAAAAGTATTAAACAAGCATTTCTTTTGTTTTTTTTTTTTGGGTGCACCAGACAAATACTTAACACGCATTTCCTTTCAATGACTTGGGTCACTTGACTCCATTGTGCTACGGCTATAATAATAATAATAAGAAAAAAATAGATAAATAAAGGACGTTATCAATCTATTATTCCGTATATACCTTTGAATCTGGCTTTAAATTTTTCAAAAATGTCCTCCAAAATTTGAGCTGTCTCATAAAGGAACGATTAATTAGTAATTAACTAATTGATTAAGTAAATGGGACCTTTGTTAAAGGAGAGTGGTCCCCCCGGGCTGCATGACACAGGCATGCATGACCCCCGGGGTTTTCATGCATGTGTCCCTTTATCGGAAAACCTAATCAATCATTCCTTCTTTAAAAATTCAAGCAACTTTAAATATTATGCTTTTTTTAAAAAAATTTAGGAAAAATAAATATCTCAAATTTTAGTTAGTTAATTTATTGGTTCTCACATTTTATAAGTTGATTACAGTTGAATAATTAAGGAATCAGATGTTTTTAGAAGGAAAGTAGTTAGATCAAGTTCCTTATATTCTGATATTCATTATATCAAGTGTTCCAATCACACATGATTATGTGTTCTATTTTGAAACTATTAGCATTTAATAACATTTAATTATAAATCAACATAAAACAAAAAACGATATGCAGTCATATATAATTGAAGAACTTTATATAATAAATATAAGAAACTTGACATAAGTTTTTGCCTTTCTAGAAACACATGACGGATTGATTACATAGCTGGAAAAAAAATTGACTTAAATGACTTAAATTTTAATAAATGAATTATAATTATAAAATTACCTCCCAAAAACTATTTATTTACACGAATCATTTAAAACGTTAATATAGTAGAAATGAGAAACAGTTAAAAGAAACTACTAAAGTAGAAATGATTTAACTCATTTTCAAGGAAAATTTACTTGTAAAAGTACACCTAAATGGATAACTCAATATTTCGAGAATACACAAACCATGCTAGAAAAGATTTGACCCTATTAACATGGTTATAGAAAAACAGGCTCCTGATTAATACAATTATCAACCATCAACATTTTGAACTAGGCCTTCAAGCTTTAAGCCTGGATATAAAAACAATGCCAAGCCCATTACTAGAATAATATGTAACACATATTATAAATAATCACAGTTCATCCACAAAAAGTCGCATGTAGAATCCTAAGGCTTCTTGCCTACTACTGGCACTTAAACACAACTCAATAAAACCATTACATGCTAAATAAACAAATATCTAATCAATAGAGTATGCAAAAGATAGGAGCCGTATGTGGTAATATACAATTTCTTTGACACAGAAAAAGAAATAGAGGCAGTACAAGAAGTTGTGAAAACTTGAGCCTTCGAGTTCTTCCCTAACGATGCACCCTTAGAACTTTCACATGAAAACAGATTAAACCACGAGGTGGGACAAAAGCCTCAGTAACCAATACTCTAGCTCATCATACATACCAATATGTGCTTGTGAAGTGTTAAGTGGGATAATTATGAATAATAAGTAATCATGTATATATCTTAATATCACTGTTCTCAAGGTTCAAAACACAATTCTCAAATCTCATAACAATGTATCAATGTTATCATGCAAATACAATCCCAATGATTACGTTCCCTCACTGTGGGAAAAACAAGAGCTAAAATAGCTAATCTCTCACTTTAGGAAATAAAACATAAGCCGATCCCTCACTATGGAGGATATAGACAAAGGAGGACGTTCCCTCACCATGGATAAAGTGCCAAAAGTCAACCATCATGCATTAATGGAAGCACTCATCACGCGACGGTAATAAACATAGTTCACTCACTAATACTTATTATATGCATCATGCTTGAGAAATGCAACAAGTGGTCAATTTTCAATTATGCATTCTATTTCTAAATCAAAGTCTAAAGTGGTAACATATTATCACAAATCCAAGGATTGTATTTTCAAAACTTGGTCCCACAAGACAAAGTCAATTCCAATATATTAACATAATTCCAAGTATATACCAAAATAATTTTTATAGTTCTAAAATAATAAAACTACTCACAAATAATATACTAGTATGTGCAATGAGTGGAAAGGAGTTACATCTTACCTAAGCAAAGATCAATTACTAAAAACAAATTGCCCTATGCACAACAACACTAATCATAAACAATCCATGCAAATACACAATCACCACATATTAGTTAACAAACTAATCAAGTGGTTAACAATGATAATTAGGGACTTAAAATCCTAACTCAACCCAAAATTCCTCTCAACTTCAAATTGACTAATTCAAAACTCAATACACTATCCGAATAGATCAATCAACTCATAGGAATTCTCAATTGTCTCTCAATTATACCAATTGATTAAAAGCTCCAATTTTCTCAAATTACATTCATCATAAAAAGTACTCAAATATGAAAATCAACTCAAATCAATTTTCTTTACCAATTAATCATCAATTCTAACTCATATTAATATAACCCGATTATCAAATCTCATTTTAAATTATTACAATATCATTAACCATTATAAACCTCCCAAAAATCACAAACCCTAGGTTCAAATTCCTCTAAACTCCAAATCCAAGACAACTAAAGCAATTAAACGCTTAGACTAGTCTATAGAAGTCATTTAAACCTAAAATAATTGGTCAAAATCTTAGTCTTTTTTTTTTTTATAAGCTTCTCTTCTTTTTGATAAGCTAAATCTTAGTCTATTTGAAATCATTGAAGAAACTAAGATTCAACTATCTCTGTGTTGTTCGCTATAGCGAATATCTAACAAATGTTTAGCTGGTGACACATCCAACATACTATGTTATTTACCATAGTAAATGTCTGGCAAACTTCTAGCGAAAACATAGATAAGAAGATTGATTTTAAAAATTCATAACTAACTTCAAAGATCTCCAAAAATTACAAATCATGGCTCTTTGAAAAACTTGAGATGTTTATTGTCCAATGCAAAAAGGACTACTCAAAAGCAAAATCATTTAGCCCTTGAAAGCACCCAATTTTCAAGACTACCCAAAAACATTTAGAGTACAACCTCAAATCACCAATTTTAGTATTTCTATATCTTAACATTTAATTTCAACTACTTAATATTTCAATTTTTTTTACTAATCAAAGTTTAATTAACTCTAATTTTCATATTAAAACTTAGGATGTTACAATAATGAAAGCTTTAAAATGTTTGTTTAACTTTTAAATATAATCAAATTAAATTATGCATAAACTTTAAATTATAGATAAATAGCTATTTTATTTTCAACTTCAAAGCTTAACAAAGATTTTTTTTTTAAAAAAAGGTTTATTTATCCTTTTTTAATATTAATTAAATTTATTAATTAATTTTATATTTTATTGTTATTTTTTTAAAAAAAATTGGCATTGTTCAAAAAGTTGGTAAGTTATTTGCATATCATTCTATTAACTCAAAATTTGATTTGATTGTGTTATTTGTAAAAAGAAAACAAAAAGTTTAAGAGATTTATTATCTCTTCCGTGTTAATATGTTCTAATAATTGTTAATATGTTCAAAAAATAAATATGTAAATATAATTTTAGCAGTCAATCATAAGTTATCCCAGTAGTAACATCAGTTATCATGTTTAAATTATGTTAGACTTGTGCGTACGTGTTTAATTGTATAAAATAAAAAAATTGTAATAAAATATAAAAATAATTTGTAACTCTCAAAAATCATTTTTTTTTAAACAAAAGCTTATATTTGGCAACTTTTATATATCAAATCTTTTAATGAAAATAATACATATCTAACATTATCCTACCCCAAATCTAGTATTATCAAATTCCGGTAAGAATAATTTTTTTAAGATATTCTTTCATTCTATAAAGCTTATAGTCAAAAATCAAAATTTTACCAAAAAAATTAAGTACATTTTTAATTGACCTAAATTCCATTGAAACAAGGGAAAATGACAAAAAAAAACTGAAAATCACTAAATCTCAAATCAAGTTTGGTAATAATATTTTATTTGATATTGACAACACTGAATTTGCAAATGATAACAGTTTTTTGTTGATATTCTTCATTTGACATTTAGTAATTTTCAGTTTCTGTTTTTGTTATTTTTCCTTAAAACAAGTCTTTTGTTTTTGCATATCATTTTTTATTATTAAAAACTCATAAGTTTGTTATATTTGGAGTTTTAATATTAAATGCTACTGTAATCTTTTGTTTTTTGTTTTGGGAATAAAAAAGATTTTTCTTTTGAATGAACTATAATCTTTTTAACATTATATTTATTTTTTTTCCTTCGGATTAAAATAATAATAAGCCTGGAGAGGCTGTTGGGGACTTACATTAGTGAATTATATTGAATTAAATTACATATATTTCAGTAATATCCAACAATGTCAAACTGAAAACATAATCTTACTTTAATGTGTTTTGATTGTATTCATTTAAGAATATTCATTTCATGGTTTAATAACGGCCGGAGTCACATGGCCTTACTGTACTCACTGTTTCCGTGAAGCTGGCATCGCCATTAAACTATACTTATTCTCACTAAAACAAAACGGCTTTATTACATTATTGTTTCTAGTCAAATGAGTGTTCATGCTTCTTCTTAGAGATTCTCCAATCCAAAGATAAGTTCAAGAAATGCAATGAGTGTGCTTGAAGCTAAGGACCCCACATGGGCAGGGAATTGATCTTCGAGCTGCCATTAATGACACCATGCTTTTCAAACAAACCCGACTTTCTCAGCTGTCCCTTTTGCCAGAGGAGCCTTCTCTCATTGACTTTATTTTACCCCACAGGGACTATCAATGACGCTTTTTCTTTAGTGCGCATGAGTGATTTTGGTCCCTTGTGTCGCGTTTTGGGTTTGATTCATATTATTGACTTGTAGGGGGATTCGGTAATGGTTTTCTAGGACAGAGAACTCGGCTGTTGACCTAAACTGAGTAGTTTGATTTGAGGGGATTTTTTGTTTTTCTGTTCGATTTAGAAATGTTTCTGGGTTTGCTCTATTGATGTGGCTTTGGCCCTTTAGGGTTTGTTTATCTCTTAAAGGTGTTTATGTCTTGGGTTAAATCTCCTGGTGGATTCGGCAAAGCAAAGAGATCGGGAAGAAGCTGCATTTTGAAGCAACTTCGAGGTTGAGGGAGATAAGTTTAATAATAAACTGATTCGAGGATTTTTGAAAAGCATTTGATAAAGTTTATTCCGAACTCTGTTGTTCAGTTCTTCCCTTCTTGCATTTGAGGAAATGGCTTGCATGAAATTGGGTTCTAAAGCAGAGGCATTCCAGCGTCATGGGCAGGCCTGGTATGTACCCCATCTTCTTATGCTTCCTACAGAGATTTCTGCTTCTAAAATTTTAGGACTCGTACATTTATCTGCTCCTAAACTATTAAATTCTTCAATTTGAAAATTAATGGTTGCTAATGGTCCTTAACTTAATGGACTTTAGCTTGAAATATTGATATTGGAAAAGCGTACTGTTTTATGGTACTTTATGGGTCTCCCTATGACGAATCTTCGTTTGCTTGGTGCCTAGTGGACTATGAAGGATCTGGGTTATTTGCAATTAGCGCGTGAATTATTGTGTGTTTAGAGTGAGATAGATGGAAAATAAGGAATTTGTTAGAGGAAGTGTGTTACAGAAATACTCTTTGCTTTACTCTTTCCCAAATGTACTGAGCATTGCTGCACTAGATCTCAGTAACTGAAATTTCCAATGATTTATTGCATCATCATTTTGTTTATATATGCTTCATGGCATGTATGAGATTACCTTCTCTGTTCGTTTCAGCATGCTTCTTATTTTCTGCTGTTGATCAGGTTGAGTATATGTCATAATACACTCTCTCTGATTCTGAAGTCCGAATACCAGAGATAAATCAGATTGTGTTTTGGTCAAGTAATACTTTAATATTATGCAAACATAAAGAGTCAAAGTTAATGATGATGATTCTTAATGTAAGCCAATATAAAAGAAACAGATTTGAGAACTACCTGTTTGTAACTACCACATGATTTTAATTGCACTGTTTCTATTATTTTTCTCAAAACAAAAGTAAGTTTTGTCTTAAGATGATATAAGATCACTCATGAATCTGTTATTATCATTAGGTTCTGCACCACTGGGCTTCCTAGTGACATAGTTGTTGAAGTTGAGGAGATGTCCTTCCACCTTCACAAGGTACCTATATCTTTAACATTTTTATTTCTTCCAGTTGATATGCTATATATATGTGGGAGGTTCGTTTTAGTTTACTTGGATGTCTTGCTCAGTTTAGGTCCAGTTTTGTCTTGGAAATATGTACCAAATCTTACATGAAGATATTTTTGGCTGAAAGTATGTGAATGCATCTGTAACAAATTATATCTTATCCATTCTGGGGCATTCTTTTAACTTCTAAGTGGAGCAAGAAAACTTGATTTTTCTGTTGTTGGGCTGGGTTCTGTAGGCAAAACAGAAACTATAATTAAATATGTCTGGTTTGTACTGATACTACACGTTTCTGATTTATTTGCTTCGTACTACCTTGGAGTTATTTGCATTCCTTTCCAAATTGTGTGTTGTTCACTATTTACCTTGTCTGGTTAGGCATGAATGCTGTATAGGATTATTAAGATGATACGGTGTTTAAGATAATCATACCAAATCATAATTTCATTTGCGTTCATATGTCATTTAATGCAGTTCCCTTTGCTCTCTAGAAGTGGAGTTATGGAAAGACTGATTGCTGAAGCTTCTGAAGCAGAGGATGAATGTACCATAAACATCCCTGGCATTCCTGGAGGGGCAAAAACATTTGAACTCGTTGCAAAATTCTGTTATGGTGTGAAACTTGAACTTACCGCCTCTAATGTAGTGTACCTCCGTTGTGCTGCTGAGTGTCTTGAAATGACAGAGGAATATGGTGAAGTTAATCTAATTTCACAAACAGAAACCTTCCTCAACCAAGTGGTCCATAGAAGTTGGAAGGACTCTCTGAAGGCACTTCAAACCTCTGATGATGCCATGCCTTATGCTGAGGAGCTCAACATCACAAAAAGGTGCATTGAGTCACTTGCTGCGAAAGCATCTACTGATCCAAATCTATTTGGGTGGCCAGTTCTTGAACATGGTGGGCAAATGCAGAGCCCTGGTGGAAGTGTTTTGTGGAATGGGATAAGTACCGGGGCAAGACCAAAGAACTCAAATTCAGATTGGTGGTATGAGGATGTATCAACTCTGAGTTTGTCACTTTACAAGAGGTTGGTAGAAGTCATGGAATCACGTGGCATTAAGCAGGAGATAATCGCCGGTTCCCTTGCTTTCTATGCTAAAACATACCTGCCTGGGTTAAATCGACGTCAAGTTTCTGGTGAGTCCAGTGCTCGATTAGCAGCAGCATCTTTAGGGTCTCCTCCATCTGAAGAAGACCAGAAAGCTCTGCTAGAGGAGATTGCCCAGTTACTCCCTATGCAGAAGGGTCTAGTCCCAACAAGTTTCTTGTCTGGTTTACTTCGAACTGCCATGATACTTCGAGTAAACCCCTCATGCATATCAAATTTAGAGAAACGGATTGGGATGCAGCTTGATCAAGCTACTCTAGATGATCTCTTGATGCCTAATTTCTCACATTCAATGGAGACCCTTTACAATGTTGACTGTGTGCAGAGAATTGTTGAACACTTCCTTGCCATGGATCAGGTTGCTGGTGATGCCTCTCCATGTTCTATTGAAGATGGTCAGTTGATTGGTTCACCTTCGCTGACACCCATCACCATGGCAGCCAAACTTATTGATGGTTACCTGGCAGAGGTTGCCCCAGATGTTAACTTGAAGCTTCCCAAATTTCAAGCTCTTGCTGCTGCTGTGCCAGAGTATGCCAGGCCCTTGGATGATGGCCTATACCGTGCTATAGACATTTACTTAAAGGTATTGACATAGAACAAGTTGTTGGCATTTAAGATCATCTTGTGCATGTTGGATTAAAGATGTTGGAATTTATATTTAGCTTACGTCCTGCCACAAGTGAGGCATATCTAGGCCTATGATCATGTTATTAGTTTTTATCTTGTATTTTATTACTTGTGTTATTTAAACTCTCGGTGCTTGTATCTCATACGCCACCATCCATACAATCAAATTGCTTAAATCAGATTCTGTTGTTCATGGTTAATATTTTCACTAGTTGACTTGCATGTCTTCTCTCTTGGATTGAATGATGGGCTTGATAAAATCTTTGTCGGTATGGACTGATTCACTTTTATCTTCCCAAACTGCAGTCTCACCCTTGGTTGGCGGAGTCTGAGAGAGAGCAACTTTGCAGATTGATGGACTGCCAGAAGCTCTCGTTAGAAGCATGTACCCATGCTGCACAAAATGAGAGGCTACCCCTTAGAATAATAGTTCAAGTTCTGTTTTTTGAGCAGCTCCAGCTTAGGACTTCCATTGCTGGTTGCTTTTTGGTTTCAGATAATCTTGACGGATCGAGACAGTTAAGAAGCGGTTTTGCTGGTTCTAATGAGGGAGGATGGGCAACAGCAGTGAGAGAGAACCAAGTTTTGAAAGTGGGCATGGATAGCATGAGGATGAGGGTATCAGAGCTTGAGAAAGAGTGCTCATACATGAGGCAGGAGATCGAGAAACTAGGACGGTCGAAGGGATCAAGTGCGTGGGGAACTGTGTCTAAGAAGCTTGGGTTCAAGCTAAAGTCTCAGATGTGCAGTGCACAAGAGGGGTCTGTAAGCAACCAGAATAATGGAAATGGTAAGGTCGAGAAAGTGAAGGAAAGACATGGAAAGCACAAGAAAATCTCTTCTCCTAGTGAATAAAACGTCATTCAATTGGTTTCTTTTTAATTGCCTCTCTCGTTACTGTCCCATATCTCTAAAACAACCTTGCTTCTGTCTACATCGCAAGCAACTGTAATGGAGATGGAAGAAAGTTTCCTTGTGTATTATGTAACTGTAAACTATAGCATTAGTCTTCCTTTCTTTCGTTTTCAGGTCACAGGGTCTCTCTACATGAAATGCTTATGTTCATTATGCAGCCTGATTTTTCTGGAGACTTGTTTATTCATTATTTATTTTTCAATTTTGTAGCAATCTGTTTTGATTTTCTTTGGCCATAGTAATGTAGCAATCTCAGATTATCATGTGTTGGGTTTTTGTCTATGAACGCTAGCTAAGCTCTGCTATATCTCCTCCCGATATCATGCTTTGATAAAATAATTTTATGGACTAAACTTGACAAAATTATGTTAAGAAAGTTTTTAAAATATCTTCTTTTTTTTTGGGTTAGTTCTATGATGTAAGAGTTATTTAAGGGGTTGTTTTGAGTTTCATGTGGCCAGCTAGGAGTTTGTTTGGGTTTTGAAACATGTATTTTTAAGGAAAAATGGCAAGTAAAGACTCTCCTAATATGTGAAATTGTGATTTGGAACCCTCAATTTGGAAAGTAGTAAAGAAAGGCCCGGTCTCATATTGCAACTATAAAATTTTAGTGAAATGTCTGAAATGCCCCTCGGATAGGTGACAAGTTGACTATGAGAAATGACAAGTTCATTTTAGTAAATGATAATTTCAGTAGACCAAATCACAACTTGGTTGAGGATATATCAAATGACAAGTTGACTATGGGAAATGACAAGTTCACTTTAGTGAATGACAACTTCAATAGATTAAATCACAACTTGGCTTAGGGGCATTTCAGATATTTTGTCAAGATTTTATATTTGCAATATGGGACTAGGTCTTTATTTGCTATTTTCCAAATTGAGGGTTTTAAATTGCAATTTCACATATTGGGAGGTCTTTATTTGCTATTTTCTCTATTTTTAAACTATACTCTCCTTAGTTTTTAATGAACATATATTTTAAAGTTATTTTTACCTCTATATGTCGATCTAATTCATTAAATTAGGGGTGTGTAATGGCGGGATGAACTCATAGATTTTTTTATCCAGATATGGGCTAGCCCGCGCATGTTACAAGCTCTTATAAGCCCACAAAAAATAGGCCTGTATAGGTACGGGTGAGCCGGTTTGTTACGCCTTCAAATAAAGGGGGGAAAAAAAATCAAAGCACCCAAAAAAAAACATCAGAAGACTAACAGCCCCATTTCCATATAAACTTTTTATATAAACTAAGGTATTCAAAACCAGACCGATTAGTGAATCGATTGGGACAGTGAGTTAATAATTAGTGGGTTAGATAGAAGTCAAATTGGGATCAGACCAATCATAATAAAAATAATATAATTCTTAATTATATAATAATAAAAAAATAATAATATAAAATTTTTAAATAATATAAATAAGTGGCAAAATATAATAACACAGTCATGCTAAATACAACAATCTTTATTAATAAAAATGAATATTTGTAAAATCTTTTGATTTTAAAAAATTTATAGTAAACATAAATTTTATTTTTAAATAAAAGTAAACCGTGAGAGATTAGAATAAATAGCTTTAGAGCCTGTTTGGCTCAGCGTTTCAGGACCAATAAGTGGCTTATAAGCTTGAAAAGCTTGATTGCAAATTTTAATGCTTTTTGGTTGAGCGATTGGGTAATTTGGTTTTTGTATGAAAAGCTAAATAAGTTATAAGTTAAAATTAACAGCTTATGACTTATAGCTTTTGAAACATGGAGAGAGAAAAAGTTAAGAAATTTATTACCTCCTTTGGTTCTTATTATAAGCCTCAAATAACTAATTTGTAGATAACAAAATATCAGTTAAAATTAGTTAAAAGTAATAAATAAATTAGAAATATACTTTTATTTTTAAATATGCTCATAGAACTATTTTTTTATTTTTTTTATGTTTCACTTTATATTTAAAATATTTTTTTATAATTTTTCTAAAGTTTTAAAATTTAATTTACTCATTAAATTTGACTTCTTTATATTAAATTATTTTAATTTCATTGTATTATGTGAAATCATTTTTTTAATCATGTTTCATTATTTATTAAAACTCATACCTATTTTGATCATTTTACAACTAAACTTATTTTTACTCAACTATAATCCAAACAACCTTTTATCAATCTCACTTTTGCAAACTAACTTTTCTAAACTTTAATCCAAATACGAATTCAACTTATCCAATTTAGTTTTTACTCAACTTCAATCTCTAAAAACTACTTTTTCAATGGTTGTTAGACCTGTATTTTTTCCACCAGTTAGACTACAGCTATACCTATACATTAAATATCCTTGCAGCCTAGCAAACTAAAGACGCATTGGAATATGGATTTTTTTTCTGCATTAAATTTTTTTATTTGACTCTTCAGAATTTTGTTTTTTTTCTAACGTAGCAGACTAAACATTACATATTCCCTTTTTCCCCACGCATCTACTTCCTTCGCACTTCTTCCTTTCCAGTTCCTCTTCGTTTTCTTCCGTCTTCTACAGGCTTGCTCGGCTTTTTTTTCCTTCCTCTCATCAACGATTTAGTATTCTCTCTCTCTTTCTATTAACCACCATTTACTATGCTAGGTAATTTTTTTTTCATCTTTTTTCCTTTTTTTTTTAGTTTCTTTCTTTTTTTCTTTTTTTAATATGCTTCTATCTCTATCTTCTTCAAGCTTTCTTCATTTCTATTAGGGCATGATATCACCCTTAAAACTTAGAAGGCAAAAGAAACATTAACTCGGTGACCCATCTGACCCAACGAGTTTCCCGGGTTGCGTCCGGGTTACAGCAGTTCAAAACGGGTTGGTCCGGGTTAGTTTCTCGCTAGGTTTAGATAAGAATCGGACCGAACAAGTGACCAATTCACCGGTTTTTGGTCCAGACCGGCCAGTCTGGTCCGGATTTTAATACCATGATATAAACCAAAAAATAACTAGTGGGCCTCCTCCATTTCCATATAAATTTTGAAAGGCATGACATTGATAATATATTTTTATTAGAATAAATATTTTTTAATATATCCTTTTACACTCATTTCTCTAGTCACGTGTCAGTCTAAGTGGGAAATGGATGACTTCTTTTCTGTTGGCAAGAGGCAAGAGACAAGCAGATGACATAGCAGTATGAAATGGACCTCAGATGAACAGGAGCTTGAAAATACAGCGAGAGTTTTTCATAAAACTCTACTCTGCACCACTAGAGAATGCTGCTACTTATCAACATAGAAGTATGTTCCTAACAATTTGCCCGACTTCTTGGAACCTTTTAAATGCTGATGTTTCTGTTGATGAAGTGAAACAAGCCCTATTTGACATGAACCCGCTTAAGGCTCCTGGTCTAGATGGACTACATGCCGTCTCCTTTCAAAGGTATGCTAGAACGAAGCTTGAATAGAACTTTGATTTGTCTTATACCCAATGTTGGTAGACCCTCCACTATCAAAGAAGTTTGCCCCGTTAGTTTGTGCACGATAGCTTATAAACTTGTATCCAAAATACTAATGAATTGTCTCAAACAACTAATGCCAAGCCTCATACTCTCTTACCAATCTAGTTTTATTAAAAGGAGAAACATCATAGACAACGTTCCGCTAGCCCAAGAGTTAATTCACTCAATGAGAAGGAAAGCAGGAGAAAAAAGTTGGTTAGCCACAAAAGTCGATATAGAGAAAGCATTTGATAAGTTTAGTTAGAGATTTATTTAGGACACTCTAGAAGATGCTAGGTTACCCGCCATAATGATTAGGCTCATTATGCACTATATCTCCATGCTAACCACGCAAATTATACGGAACGGGAAGCCTTCTCAAGCTTTTTAACTAACAAGAGGCATGGGGTAGGAAGACTTCCTCTCGCCATACCTTTTTATACTCTGCATGGAACGACTGTCTCAAGTTATCAACAAAGAGGTTCAAACCAGAATTGGGAAGCCACCAATCTTGGTAGATATGTCCCCCCCTTTAAGACACTTTTTTTTTTTTTCCTGATGATCTTATTCTCTTTAGCAGCACAATCGAACACAAACTCTGCTTCATACAAAAAGTATTCTATGATTTCTATGAAGTCTTTGGACAAATGGTGTGCTAGAGTAAAACTTGAGTCTTCCTCTTCCATAACATACCATAGCAGGAAGCCGACTTTATTTGTAATTCACCCCAGTTTCAAAGAACAAATCATTTAGGGAAGTACTTGGGGGTTCCTCTTCTTCACTCGAGTCACAAAGGACACCTACGCCTATTTGATTGAAAAAGTGCAGCAAAAACTCACTGCTTGGAAGGCGAAGTCCCTCTCTCTTGGTGGGCGAATCACACCTGCAAAATCTATCCTGAATCCCATTCCTTAATGCGCCATGCAGACCACTCTTTTATCGGTCTCTTGTTGCAGGACAATTGAGAAACCCATACGCAGATTCACTTGGAGATTAGATGGAACAACCCAAAAATCAAGTGTGGTTAGCTGGAGTAACATGTTTTAGAAGTATTCTTCCAATCTCTTTCGCCAAATACTACCTCCAATATTTAATATAAGAATTAGTTAGAGATTCAATATGGTTCTAAATATAAAGCTTCAATCCACTTTGTCTCTAATATTTATTCATTTTATCCCCAAATAATCTCTATATTGATTACAGATGTTAAGAAGGTACTATCAATGAGTAATTCAAATGCATGTAATTAATAATGGTATTTTAGGAAAGATAACATTTATTTATTACAAAAACAACTAACTTAACTAATTGGGAAAATTTTCAAGAAAAAGCTTCTTGAATTTCAAAATCTCAAATCAGAAATCACTATAAAACTATAATGTTATTTACATTTCAAGTGTAGTCAATTGCTATTAAAATGTAATAACAAGATTGCTTTGAAATTTTGAAATTCAAAAGATATTTTTTTGGAGATTTTTCCTAACTAATTTTTTTAATATTTGCAAATTGATTCTTACCTAAAGGACTAGAGGTAATAAATGCAATCCTATAAGGAATAACTTGTATTAAATTAAAGAAAAAAAATGCATCTGGACGTTTATAAACAAATAAAGAAATATGAGGGGGTTTTTTGGGGGGGGGGGATTGAAGCAAAGAGTTTTACATTGTACATACGAGTGTTGACCCTCATTTCGAAAATTTCCCTAGTTGGTCTTGTAATAACTTAATAACCTTTTTCGTGTTTCTTATTAGTTAAACAAAATTTGACTCACCAAGGGTTTTCAATTAGAGGCTCAAATGTTTGATGGAA